GTCCAGTGTTGACAATATTGCCATATATGTGCTTACTTGTATTTTTTGTCAAGTAACCACCGTTTTCTAAACATATATTCATAATATATGAAAATATTATACAATTGAAACTAGGATTTCTTTCTGAAATAAAACCTTAAGATTTTTCTGCCTAAGTTTGAATTGTATCTGTTTAAAGTCAAATTAACATTTCATAGACTCTCTTCTCACATGGAAAAAATTATTTCCAAAACATTTGTTATGAAAGGCACAACATGAAGTAATGAAAAATAGATCTAGATTTTTTTGGCCAACGTGCTCCATATTAGCAACATAAGACCAAACTAAGCTGGTTTCCTAGATGTAAAATTATAGTAAAAATCTTTTCCAGGTCAGAATTCACAGGGCTGCGTGTAAAACAAATAAAAAAAGAAACCTGGAAGCATTTTGTAAAGTGTCAAACTAGAACAACAATATGAGTTATTATAATTATCATGCCTTTCGTAGACATCTGAAGAGAACAACATGTAACCTCATTTTTTACCTCTGGCTAGTTTTAGGATCTGCAAAGGTGGGACAGCCATCTCTAAATAAGCAAGATGACATTTTTACATATTTTTAATTGTAATAGAGGCTTGTCAAAGATTCCACACATTCTTTATTCTTCCTAAAACACAGATTCAGATTGACCCTATATATTACATACAATGATTCCAGAGCTCTAATTTGATTCTAACAAATCCAAATGTTCTATGATTTCTTGGTGATAGGAAATTGATGGAGAGAATTTGTTAGCTCTTTACAATCGAGTGTCCGCAGGCCAACAAAGAAATGTCCTGGGACGAGGTTGAGGACACAGATATTTTAATATCTTTTCTGCTTCCTTCAGTGAGAAATCATGAGCTCCTGGTAATAGGTAATCAATTTCTGTTATTGCATTTGGGACTGTGAGGGACAAAGATTCTTCTCCATTTTCTAAATGTCATAAGCAAACAAGCATGCTTTCTTAACTAATGGGCTTTAATAAGGAAACTTGTTCATCTTATATATTTTCTTTCCTTAGAAATACAGAATATAGAATGTGTTCTATAGACTACAGAATATAGATGTATTTTAAGAGAAGGAACATACAGATATTAGTGTATCTTAGAAGCAGCAAAGAATTATGTGAGTGGTTTGAAGTCCCAAGCAGGGACTTTTCCCAAGAGATTCCAATAATGCTAAGCTTCCCCTAATTTTTCCCTAAAAGAAATAGGGACTAATTAGAATGTCAGTCAGAAAATGGGATGATATCAAGATCCCTGAATGGGTCATAATCAAGGGGGCGGTAAACAGATTTTCTTATAATAGTCATGACTGAAAACATGTTTACTAGAGAAGAATAGTTCTATTCCCTGTATACCCCACCCTCTAATGTTTTATTTCTCCAGTAACAGCCTTCTTTATGATCACCAGTGCACCAGGAATGAAAATTCTCATTTTACCTTTATTCAATACATAAATTAACTCATCAATTCTCTACAGCTTAGAAATTGTCCTAGAAAATTGTTAAAATAGCCACTATAACTATTTGAGCCCATATTTACAACATTTCCTTTAAAATATATATTTCTGATATAATAATACAGCATATCACTGTGGTTTTCCTTCTGCTACTTAATAGACATCTTCTGACATGACAAGAATTTGGTTTCAGAAACATTGATTAGAGTATCATTTCTAGAAACGGTGAGCCTGATCTAAAAATTGATGCTTTAAAGAGAATGTGCCATTCTTCACTCATTCCATCTGACTCATAGGATTGTCACTATAGTTTAGTTCTGATCAAATCATTTCCAAGTAATTTATCTGTAAGCTAGGAATCATTTTTTTCTGAAGATTATTATAGTACACTAAGTAATTGTTGTAATGTAAATATTAGTAGAACCTTTGTCAGACATTTTAACAGCATTCCCTGAATGAGACTGGATGACTGTTTGAACCCACTCAAACATTATTTAGACCTTTCACAAAGCAGCTGAATGCTTAGCACTCTAGTGTCAGAAAAGACACTACAATATGTCTCTCATCTAGGTCAAGACAAATGTCAGGGTCAATGAAGGGTGAAACGTAGCAATGGAGATTTAAAATGAAGGGTTGGAGCAACAGGTGCTTGTCGTGATACATTGAGAGACAGGAGAGAATTGTTGTGAAGTACAGGAAACAGCAATGATACTGAGAGCAGACAAAAGGCAGGTTTCTCACTGCCCAAGACACGGATCTTACACACAAAGTAGTTTCCAAGGAGTATCAGAAGAGAGACTGAAGTATGGAGCACCTATTTTTTTTTTAAGATTTATCCACCTATACTTATAATAACTGGGGTTCAGGCCAGAGTGTGGGGGGTAAGAGGATTCCAGAGACAAAGTGGGGAACAGAACAGGCAGGTTGCCTGAAATAGACTGTTGAGGGGAGCAGCGGGTGAGTCAGGAAAGGTCTGCTGCCCCATATGTGTCACCTCCCTGGCCGAGGATTGAACTCATGCTGCAGTGGCTGTGGATAGCTTCACAGTCTAAGACTCATCCCGTTGCGCCACCAGGGAGGACCCTGGAGCATCTTCTTGTTTAAACAAGTCACTTTTCAAACACAATGTAATGAAGGAAACCAATCTGAATGTACATAAACTGGTGCTATAGTTTTGTCAGTGTATTGACACAAAGGGAAGCTAAAAGTAATACAATACGGAGAAAGATCACTAAGGTTTTCTGAGTGTCTTCAATGTGAAAGATGTACGGTTGACAAGCCCTCCACTTTATTTCTTTAATGTCTGTAACAACAATGCGAGATTAAGTTTTCATTCAGTTTAAAAGATGAAGAATCTGACTCAGACAGACGCATAGACTCTAAGTGTGAAGCTGGGATGTGAACAGAGAGAGAATTTTTAATTCTACCTCATTGCTCTTTGGCATGTGTTGAGTCAATTACTGGTGACCTGTCCTGTCCATTTAATATTAGGCAATCTATTTCACCATTAAAGAATCTTGCCAAAGGGGATTGAGAAATTTAAACATTAAAAGATACTGTGTTACTTCAATGTACTGTTTTAATTAATAGTCCATGAATGCTTAAAGGCAGACATTCAGAGGTAATGTTCAGATGTTAAATGTTCAAATGTTACATAATTCAGATGCTGTATCTCCTGGACTATCTTTATTTTCCTTATATTCTTCCAGAAATAAGTAATCATAATATAGCCTATACACTATTATTAAGGTTCCCCAAAATAATTTCAGCATTTTATTTTTTGATGAAATTTGTATTTGTCCATATCTCAAATAATAATCTTACTGAAATGATAAAGTACACATCCAAGCAATTAGAATATTCATAAAATATCAAATAAGAGCACTGATATATGAATATGCTAATCTGAAAATATGTAGATTATATGCCTATTTTTTTTAAACATCAGTGTATATTTCTATTGCCTCATTTTACCTACTCAAAAGAGATACTTTCATAATTAATAAAATGAACATGCAAGTATCTAATGAACTCTTAAAAGACCAATTTTCCATATAGAAAAATACTTCAAATAGCATGATACAGGATAAAATGATAAAGTATACAATGTTCAAAAATAAATATATTCATGTTTTTATTTGACATAATCAGGAAAATCATGAAGGAAACAATGTTTACTATGCAAGTTTTAACTGAATCATATTATTTTAGATTCTTAATTTTAGTCATTCAAATTTCTTGATCCATTCCATTTCCAAAATTCTTACTCCTACCATTATTTCTATGCAAGTAGCAATTTAGTTAAGGTCCTTCCCTTCAGTAAGAAAGCTATTTTGAAAGAAAAAAAAAGTAAAAGTGTTGATGAAAGAATCTATAAATTCTACACAATTTGTATTCACCCTCATGTCATCAGTTCTATAGCAATCATGTCCAAAATAGATAACACAATCAGCATTCCTTTCTTCATTCAAAATATCTCAATTTTAACTGAAATATCTGGCTAACCTTGAAATTACTTTTATCTTTAAATTATACATTTTATATCCATTTTAATAAACACATAATTTTAATAATGTAACATATTAATTTATTTTTATTTAAATATTTTAAGGCAATACCTCTGAAATATTTATTTTTCAATATCAAGAAATATTACCACTCAGTGGACTCAAAACCATGAAATCACCACATATTTTGATGCAAACTATATATTAGGTCTTATTAATTTTGATTGAATTAATAGCTTAAATTCCTTTATCTCACTGTGAGAAGGCACTTAATTACTAATTAGCACTGTTTGATTATAGACACACAAGGTAAAATTCATAATTAGAAACCTCATACCAAAAAGCCTCACACCACTATTTTATGAACTGTGAACTAGAAAAGTATCAGTGGAATTGTAAGGACCAGCCTGCAAAACAAATTACTACCAAGTGTTTTTGTAGCAAGATGATAACTTTAGAATATTAGTAATTACATATCTCCAGTCTTAGGGGAAACTTACTGATGATACTGAAGCATCCTGAGAAAGAAATGCTGATGGCATTTACTGAATAAAATAAATCAAAAGTGAATTAATAATTTTGATATATTTTACAAAAATGTGATTGTGCAAAACACTAGATTTGTGGAACTAGACATAATGGTTTGTATATTTACTGCACTCTAACAAGAATGAGAATAGTAGTGTTATTGCAGATATTTGATGATATGGTTCACTGTTCACCCAAGACTTCCAAACATAGTATTCTTAAACTTGCTTCCTATCTCAGTGTTCAGTCACTGAGCATTTCCTTAGAGCATGCTACTGTTCAGCTGAGATATAGTATAATATCTTTCAGTTTGCACATACAATATCTGTAAATAAATGTAGGGCATCATTTCTCATAAAATGAATAAACAGTACATGTTTAAAATGTTTATAATGTCTACCCTATGTAAATCTACTACAGTAATCACACACACAAGTGCATGTATGTCATTTATGCCGTATTGATAAAGAGTATCTTCCTTACCTGTCAAGTTCTTCAGTCCAAGTTCTTGAAGCCCAAAGTTTCCATCTTTTCTATAGTTTAAAAATATCGCCAAGGCATATCGATCCTCATAAAGTTTTGTCCCACGTATAATGCGTAAATTCTCCAGAGGCAGGTAACGAAACTGATTAAGTGCCACCAACACGTATCCTGTGACTTCTCGAATAGACTGAAAAGACATAAACAATTGTCTATGTTAAAAATTAAAGGTCCTTTATCAGTATACTTATATAGTTATTCAGATTAAAAATGAGTAATCTATGTTTTCAGCTTTTAATTTAATACATTAATTTCCACATCAAATTGTAAATAATTGTGCTGATAATACAAGATCACAAAGGGTTAGATTCTCATTAAAGTATGAGTTCTATTTTTTTCTAAGTCACAAATGTGCTTAATAAAATGATTTGTTCTTTTATGAGACATTTTTTCATACCTGAGATTTGAATATATTTAAAGGAATAAATATCTCATTGACAGACTAAAATGAGGTAAGAATACAAAACGCCATAAATCACACTTTATATAGAAAAGCAAATTGTTGAGCATCACAAATAAGACAAAGTTACATCAGTTTGTGCTAAATTGTTGTGTTATGTTACAGTTATCAAGAACAGTAGCCCTACACATCTCTGGAGAACACACATATAAACAACATATATTAAAGCCTGACTCCCACCCTTATTTTTCTGTTTATTGTTGAAATGTATTTGTCTATAATATTGAGTTAATTATTTGAAGGTTTATGAATTTTTTTCAGATTATTATGTTTTTACTATAAAAAAGAAGTTCCTTAGCATCCTTATTTGGTGAAAAGTTTATAGATATATTTTAAAGCAAAAATGTCACAAAAAAGTTATCACTGTCATCTAAATTTATAACATTTCAGGAAAAATAATATGGTTATAATGAGTTATGAACACATGCTAAAATATTAAGAACACAATGATTTGAAAGTGTTAGAATATTTAGTATTATTTTGGTGTTAATGTCATTTTTACAGTCCTTTGAATTTTACATGCTCCATCTTTTGTACTATCTTCTTCTATATCCATTCTTACTTCCTCAGGGATCTTAGTTACAATGCTGGTGACCTCCATAATTTTACTTTCAAACTCTCCTCTGAATTCCAGACTCGAATCCACTGCCTACTTAATGTCTTTGATTTGTTACCAAACAGACCTCTCAGATACACATGTCCCAAACTGAACACCTACCTTCCTCCCCACAGGCGCCCGGTATCCTTCCTCATTTCCTTTGAGGTCAAACTACCCTCCCTGTTATTCAGATCAAAATCTTGGAATTAAGCATAACACATTCTATGCATCCTATCTCTTCTATGTTTAAAATGATAAGAAATTCAACCACTTCCTATACCCTCTACAGAAAGCATCTCAGCTACCATCATTTCTCATGAAGATCACTAAAATATGTCTCCCGGTCTCAATTTTTGTCTCTTATGGTATATTCTCAGCTAAGGCTAGCTCTGATTATCTTTTAAAATCATAAACCAAGTCACTCAGAGTAATACACAAAGTTCTTTCAAAGATGATTCAAAATCTGTATTGCTATTGTCCAGTGTAGTAGCACAGTTATAGGCGACTGTTGAATAATGGAAAGGTAGCTAGTACAAATGGAGAGGTGTTTTAAGTATAAAATATATTGTGAACTCCAAAGAGAAAAAGCTGAAATGATAACAATTAAATTTATGGTTGTCATTATATTTCAATTGGATAGTGTTGCATTATAGGATCTGGCCATCAGGTTTTTTTTACAGACCTCTTTGTAGCTTTCCAACTTGCTCTATTTCAGTTCTGCTGATCTTTTGGCTTCTTTCAACGGCCAAGAGAGGTCCTTCTTTAAGGTACTCACTATACTCAAGGTTCCAGGTTTCTCTAATTCTTGTTATCTTTATTCTAATTTGCTCACTACTTTCAATTTTTTTGTTCAAGTATCTTTCTGTAGATTCCAACCTTGACTAAAATAATTAACACAGTAACCCTACTTTCCTTCCCTTGCTCTAATTTTTATTGTTCCAATAGTACTTTTAATATACTACATGGCTTATATATTTATTACATTTAATATTCATAATCTATGTTTTCCTTTCACAGAATATAAGTTTTAGAAGGCAAGTAATTTGATGTGTTCCATCCTGCATTCCATGTGCCCAGAAGAGTATCTCACAAGAGTAGACAGAACTGGGTAGAGAAAGTAGAGAAGGGGGTGCATGCTGGGGACCATCTCTTCATCGCACTATATTCCTGAGGAGTCTGGCATTCAAATAATTCAGCTGATCATGCAGGTGTTTATAAAGAGAGAACATATTTTATTTAATCATATTTGTTTGATTTATAATAAATAATTAGACATAAAATTATAGTGTTGTCCCAGGTCCCATAGTTCTCAGTGATGGATACTAATCACCTAGAAGAACAGAAGTCTGCTGGAGCAAAGGTGAAAATAAGGAGGCAAAGGACATTAAAAAAAAAAAAAAACTATTCATGTATTATATCAGATTGGAAACTCTGGGCTGCTAAGGGGCAGAATACTCGGAAATTTGGAATGAAGAGATGGATGCTTAGGGGGATAGAATATAGGAATTTAAGGTTAATAGTGGCATGCATTATTCATATACCACAATTTGTTTGAAATTGCACTTGCCTGAAATAGTGCAGTCCTGAGTCCTACATGCCCCTTTAACCACTGTTCCACTGGTTCAACTCTCAGGCCTTTGAGTTCTTTTTTTTTTTGTTTTTTTTTAAGATTTATTTATTTATTTATACAAGCACTGGGTATGGTCAGAAATGCGGGAGGGTGAAAGAATTCACCAGAGCCAGAGCAGGGAACAGAACAGGCAGAATGACGAAATACATTGCTGAGGGGAGCAGCGGGCGCGACAGGAGAGGTCTGTGCGCCATGTGGGACCCTCACCAGCTTCCAGGGATCGAACTGGCGCTGCAGAGTCTGCGGGCAGCTTCGCAGCCCAGCACTCCACCGCTGCGCCACAGGGGAGGCCCAGGCCTTTCAGTTCTTAAGAGTGAGATCAGAACCACTTTCTGATATCATTTGATCTAAAAATAAAATTTATTCATTTCTTATAAAAATAATTTATCCTCATTTTGTATATATAATCATTATCAAGTGCTCTGGTAACAATAATAGCACTAAGGCAAATGTTGGGGTTGGCAGATGTCTTATTCATCTTTTTGCTTGGATCATATCATAATATCAGTATCTTTTATTCATCCTAGTAGAGTCACCATTAGCGCCAACCCCACTTAGGAAGTGACTCTTCTTATTCAAAGTTGTAACAATTCACTGGCCTATCACAGAATGAAAGGATACATCAATGAGGGCATCAGGGAAAACATAGGTGAAACACACTCAAGTAAAAACAGAGATTTATAAACAAAGAAGCGAAGTCAGTAGCAATTTTGCAGTGTTGGCAGTTGGTTTGAGGGATAAACTCTTTCTAGTTATAAATTTATAAAGCTGTGCCACTTGGCCTGACCTTTGGACAACACATTAGCAGAGGCTACTATTAACCTGCAAAGAATAAATGTTCTACTTCAAGGACAGTGATAGCTATGAGCCAAGAATGGTGCTGAATATATAGGGAAGGATCAACTAAACATTGAAGATGAAATATCAGATGCCTTTAGCTGTAAGAGAAAGTAAAATATTACTAAGAAAACCTATGCATTTACATATTATCTAACATATTTTAATTATATTGAAAATTTATGTACTTTTCATTCCAAAGTATACACTAAATTATTTTTAGAAACACTTCTGTTATCTTCAAAGAAGGACCAGCTAAAAACAATTACTCTCTTGATGAAATTTTGGGACTATAGTAACTGGCTGTTGTAACTGAGATCTTCATGTTTATTATTATTTGTTCTGCTTATTATTCTCTTAAAATCATCTTGCAAAATATTATGAGGAACTTTTACATTAGTCTGACAAATAACCTTTTGCTATATGAACTTTAGAATTCATTTATAAGTTAATGTTGAAAGTGTATATGATCTACCCACTTTGAACAAGTGATAAAAAATAAGTAAGTGATAAAAAATTCACCTATGGTGACTTATTTTACGATATTGATGAAGATCCCATTCAATTCTGTCACACATCTTTTGTCATAGCCATAAAAATAATGTAAATAGTAGAAAACATGATTATGAATATAGTAAATCCTTTAACCCAAGATTTATTGCTTCAATCTTTTACGTCTAGAGGACCTTATGGTACTAAAGACTCTTTAAATAATTATAGAAGATAAACATAAAATTCTTGTATTTAAAAGCATCAAGTTGTGAATTGATTTTGGTTTCCTAAGTTTTCTGACATTCTTAATTACATTCTTTAAGGTATTCTAAAAAGATTCCTGTGAACAAATATCTTGAAACATCTCAATAGGAAACTCCACTGCAGATACTATGAGCTATGATGAGCACCGACTGCAAATAAAATTACAGGAAATAACTTAGTCATGGTAGGATAGCTTAATGCTGGAAAAGAGTCACAATGCTTATGAGAAAATATTGGGATATGACTAAAATAAGGGTAAAAAAGTCAAGAGATATCTAAAAGTGTCAAGTTTTATAGTATCTGATAAAGTTACACAACCAAGTAAATTAGTTATTGTTCCTATCCTTTCCACCACAGGAAGACTTTGAACACCACAACCTCTTTAATCATTTAAAAAACATTTTTATGAAAAGCAAAACAACTTTTGAACATAAGAACTTTGTATGGAAAGTGTGATAGTAAGACATAAGCTCAACTTCCATGCAAAGGTAGATGCAAAACCCAGCCTTTGTGCTTCCTCTCTTGGTGGTGTTGATCAAGTTGCTTACTTCACTTGAACCTCAGATCCGTCATCTTAAAAAAAAAGCTATGTCTATTATAAAGGTGTTCTGAGGATTAAAAATATAACAAAAGTATGTGGCAAAAAGATATCAGGTGTTTTCTGTTACAAACATTATGTCTCAGATAACAGCAAAGGCACATGAATTATCTGTGAACAATTTGAGTTGAAAATAAAAATAATTATAACATCATTGCAAAATAACCAGTTTTAAAGCTATTTGTTAGGTATTATGTACCATGTGTATGTCTTGTTCTTCAACTTTCAATTTATTGCTAAATTTCAGATTG